AAATCTGTCCAGTTAGACCCCCAGAGAAGGCAGTCACCGCCATTCAGACAAGCCCTGGCCATGGACACCCAGTCATTGGGCGGAAGGGGTTTTTGGAAACCGAGTTGAGCAAGCTTTGTATAAATGGGAATTAGGGCTATAAGTACCACAAGCATTTTTAATTCTTTTAAGGTTTTAAAAGGAATAATAGTGTGAACGTGGACATTCTGGTTTTGCTCATTATCCTGTTCAAAAAACTGGAAGAAGCTGAAAACCTGTAAAGTCACCATGGGGGTGACCAGGATGTACAGGTGGAGGCCAACACCCCTGTCCAGGAGGCGCATGTCCCTGTGGAGCTGAGGTAGACCCCCAGGCAGGTTCCATAGAACAGGGAGACAACTGAGAGGTGAGAACCACAGGTGGAAAAGGCCTTGTACTTCCCTCCTGCTGTGGAGATCCGCAGGACAGAAGCCACAATTTTAGAATAAGAGAAAAGGATCCCAGAAAGAGGGAAAAAGCCATAATACCTGTCACTATGTACAATATGACGCTATTGATGAAGGTATGAGCAGGCGAGCTTGAGGACCTCAGGATATTCACAGAAATAGTGTGGGATTCCCACGTCTGTGCAGAAGGAGAGCCTCAGTCCACTCACGCTCTCAGGAAGGGCTCCCAGCACACTGTTGAGCCAGCTCAGGAGAAGAACTGGGCACAGAGCTTGGGGCTCCTGAGGACTGCGTAGTGCAGGGGCTGGCAGATGGCCACGAAGTGGTCATAGGCCATCACAGTAAGAAGTCCCATGTCCAGCTGTCCAAAAACAGTGAAGAAGCACATCTGGGTGATGCAGCCTGCATAGGTAATGGCCTTGCTCTGTGTCTGGATGTTCACCAGCATCTTGGGGATGGTGGTGGAGGTGAAGCAGATGTCCACAAAGGACAGGTTGGAGAGGAAGAAGTACATGGGCATGTGCAGGTGGGGGTCTGAGATAATCGCCAGGATGATGAGCAGGTGGCCAAAGATGGTCACCAGGTACAAGGACAGGAACAGCCCAGAAAGAACCGACTGCATCTCTGGCTTCTCACAAAGTCCCTGGAGGATAAATCCTGGAGTCCCCGTGTGGTTTTCTGGTTCCATGTAAAGTAAATGTCCCCAGGGGAGAAGCAGCAGCTAGAGGGAGTCCACGGCCACCTCAGGACCCTGGCTGCCTGGGTGTGGACCCAGTGCTCTAGGAGGCATTGGCTTGGTGGCCCCTCCTCTGCTGTGGGTCACACTGGGGTTCCTTAGTGCCACTAGTTCCCTTTTGTTGCCACCACCAGCTGGAGAACCCAGTCACCAACTAATTTATTTTTATTGTTTTTATTATTAGTTGCTCAAGACAATACAATGATCTTGACACATCATACATTTGATTCAAACAGGGTATGAATTCTCATTTTTCCACGTGTACAGATTGCAGGATCACATTCGTTATACATCCATGTGTATACATACAGCCATCCTAGTGGCAGTTGTATTCTGCTGCCCTCCCTATCCCCCTCCCCTCCCCTCCCCTCCTATCTCTATTCTCTACCCATTCTACTGTGACACTTCTCTCTCTCTCTCTCTCTCTCTCTCTC